TGGGACAGGACCGGGGGCGGGGGGCAGAAGCGCAGGGCAGGACTGGGGTGGCCCAGGGCCCCACGGAAGCTCATGTTCCCCTCTCCCCGCCTCTGAGCAGGTCAATAACGCCACCGCCCGAGTCATGACCAACAAGAAGACGTCGAACCCCTACACCAACGGTAAGGCGCCCGGGGCCCGGGAGGCTGTGGGGGCCACTGCCGGCCCTGGAGGCCGACCTCCCTGGGTGCTCGGCGCCTCCATGTTCAGCTCGCCCTGTCCGGGGGACGGCTCCCCCAGGCGTGCGTGGCACCCAGAGGCCACACGGACAGGCTTCGCACAGTGGCTCAGCGGCCACTTCCTGGAGTTTCCTTTCCAAGCTCTGAGGGCGGCCTGGCTGGGGGTGCTGTGCTGAGTGGGTGAGGAAGGGCAGGCAGCCCGGGCCTTGGCAGTACTGGGGGGCTGAGGCCGCCAGAGTGAGTCCTGCTGGCCCCGCCGACCGTCCGCTGTGCACCCGGCCCCGAGCCGAGCGGGAGTGGCCGGTCCTCTTTGGGAACGAAGCGGCTGATGCCCAGGGCCGGCCGAGAGAAGTGAGGGAGTTCGCTGTGGAAAACAAGCGCGCCGCGTTTGGGCAGGTGCTGCCGTTAGCACAAAACATGGGACCGCCCAGGTGGGCCCGTCCTCGGATCCCGGGACCCTGACGGTGCCCTGGGCCAGAGTCGGCAGGTGGAGGCGCCAGGGCAGCTGAGGGCGGAGAAGAGCCGCCGGGCGGAGCCGGGGAGGCAGCTGGGTCATTGCCTCTGGGACTCTGCTCCGTCCTGGACCCTTACCCGAGAGACTCAGTTCTTGGGCCCAGAGGTCCCCCCAGGAGAAAGACGGTTCTTCCCTCCTCCCCGGAGGTTGATGGGCTCCTGACCAGCAGCAGCGTTCAGACACAGTCTGCCGTCTGTGATGGGACCAGTGACGGCGGCCCACGGACAGTGCGGACAATGGCCCCGGGGGAGCAAGGCCACCGCCCAGCAGTGGGCACGCTGTCTGAATGCCTGGGGCCAGAGCCCACTCGAAGCCGCTGGTCTCCTCCCCAGAGGCCTCGGTTGTGCCCCGGTCCCTGGTGGGGGAGGGAGGCAGCCCGAGCAGCCAGCCCAGAGCGGCCGGCTTGCAGGGAGGGAGAGGCTGGTGAGGATACGGCTGGGGGCCAGGGGGTGGCAGGAACAGGCTGGCACACACCAGCTCTGTGATGCAAGGCTGCGGCACCTCTCAGCCTCCACTTGTCCATCTGTGAAATGGGAGGGTGGCCACCAACCTCAGTGGGGGGGTTCTGAACAGCTGTAAAGTGCCTGGGAAGGGCCAGCTGTCCTGTCATTATTATTTGGAGCCAAAGGCCCTTCTGCCCCAGCACCTTGCACCGGCTGCTCTGGGGACAAACAGGAGGACAGCGGGAGAGGACACAGCCCTGGGGAGAGGGGCCCTGGGAGCTCGTCCGGGGACACACACCCTGGGGCAGGAGGTGGGAGGAGGTTTGGGCAGAGGCCGGGCACCTTTCTCGGCCTCTGACCCTCGGGAAGGCAGCCAGGTGCCCCAGGAGACAGCACCCCCAGGAAGGGGCTCTGTCGTGGCCCCCGAATCCCTCATCCCCGCGGAGGCCTGCAGGCATTTACACACCGTGCTCCCCTCTCCCTCCCTAATCCTCCTGCGGGGATCGCAGACCCCAGGGTGTGGGGCTGGTGCCCTTCCGGCAGGAGAGGCCCAGGGCATGCTGGGAGGGAGGGTCATCATTTAGGAAAACTCGAGACCCAGAGCCGCCTGGGTGGGGAGTGGTCCGGCCCCTGCGACTGGGGAGCAGTAGAACCTACAGCTTTGGATGAGGGGGGCGTGGGGATGGGGGTCCCACCTCCTGTACCCTCCAGATTGCAGAGGGAGGGGCCACGCCTTGGGGGGGCGTGTCGCAGGTGCAGTGTGCGGTAGGGAGATGGTGATTGGATTCCTTGCTTCTGATCTAGGCTGGAAGCTCAACCCCGTGGTGGGCGCCGTCTATGGGCCTGAATTCTATGCAGGTAAAAGGCTGAAGCGATGGAGGGGGCTGGTTGCGCCGCCCCCGCCCCCCATCCCCGCGTACGGAGCGTGAGTACCTGGGAACCCGGGGAGGGCGGCCTGGGGCAACCAGATGGGGTAGGCAGCCTATATGCGGGGGGGCTAGGGAACCCCCAGATCTTGGCACTGCAGCCACGTTGTGATGGGCAGTGACCCAGGCCCACCCCGCCCCGGAGCCAAAGGTCACTGGCATGTAGGGGACACCTGGGGCCCCAGCGGATGTTTGCAGTGGGGTCCTGGCTGGCCCTGGAGGTCGGTGGGGCCCTCTGAGCCCAGCTGCACCTTGTCCCTGGGGCCGAGTGCCCGGCCCACGGGGGTACAGCTGGTGGGGGGGGTAAGCAAGGTGGGCCGAGGGCCCCTGGGTTTGTGGGAGAAAGGAGCTGACAGCAAGGGTGTTACTCTATTGTTATACCAAACAGGGCACTGGAGCAAACGCTTGTTAAAATGCCAGTCCCATGGGCAGGGCTGGCACCCTGCCCCCTCCCTCCGCAGCCTCCGGAGCCGGTCACCTCTCCAGCGTTCCCACCACTCTCTTGTCCGTTTGCTTCCAGGGTCGTGTATCAGGACGGCTTTTATGGTGCTGAGATTTATGTAAGTGCCGCCCGGAGGGGGGGGCCCCGCCAGCTCCCCTCCAGGAGCTGTCAGCGACTTCAGTCCCTGCCCGCTCCCCCCTCCCCGCCACCCTGCTAACCCGGCTCCTCTCTCCTGCCCCACACCCCTGCCCTTCTCCCCTTCTCGGAACCCAGGAGGGTGAGGGCACTGCACCCCTGGGACCGCACACAGCCACGTCGGGGTCTCCCAACAGCCCATGAGCCACCGCATGCCTCCCGTTGTGCAAGACATGTCCCTCACCACACCGGGGTCCCTGAAGGAGCCGCAGCGGCAAGGCCTGAGAGACCAGGAGGCAGGGGCCCCTGGGCAGACCCCTGGGGGGGGCCTTCTCCCCCACTCGTGGGGCCGCACTCACCGTTCCTCTGGCTTGAAGCCCCACCCCACATACAGACCTGGCCCAACACAACACCCCTTTGTGCCAGGGCGTGCCCGGAGCTACTGTCCTCCACCCTCCACCCTTCCCCGCGGCCAGGGTGGCACCCAGAGTCAGCCGTGGGCTCCCCATGCCCCTCGGGCTCACTGGCCTGGTGGCAGGAGTGCTACAGCCTCGCACTCAGCCTGACATGTAGTGGGCGCCCACCTGTGTGTGTGGAACGCGAGAAGGGATGAGTGAATGAACGCATGACGTGGACGGACACCCTCCTCTCCCCGCACCGTGCTGCGGGCAACGTGTGGTCCGCAGGCCTCCCTCCTTAGGCCAGCAGCTAGGTGCCCCCAGCCCGCACCGGCTAGCAGCCAAGAGAAGGTGGAAAGGCCGTGGCCGCCCCACTAAGCCCCTGTGATCTCCCCTCCCCTGTGCCCTGCAGGGAGGCTATGCCGCCTACAGATACGCCCAGCCGGCCGCGGCCGCCGCGGCAGCAGCAGCAGCAGCAGCCTATAGCGACAGGTACGCTGGGGACCTGGGGACAGGGAGCCAGCACTCTGGGCCCTCAGGGCGGGGATCCCACAGACCAGAAGCCCCACCCGCTGCTCAGGGGCCTGAGGATGGCTCCCCACGTGGGCGCAGGGTCTGGACAGAGAGAAGGTCTGAATGGGCTTGGAGACCCCCAAACAGCTGCTGTCATCACTCCCTGCCTCATGGCGGAAAGGCGGGGGACCCCAGTTCTCAGGGAGCAGACAGCCCCTCCCCCAGCTCCAGAGGTCCCGCCCGCCGCCCGTCCAAGGTGCTTCCAGGCAGAGGTGGCTGTGCCACGGCCTCCTGTGTGACAGGACCGGGCAGGGAGGGCTGTGACCCTGAGAGCAGTGGCCTCTGCCCGGGGGTTGGGGGAAAGGGGGGCGCTGTGCGTTCTGTGGTCAGGTCCAGGGGTCCCCCACCATGGCCCAGCTGGCACCGTTCCCTGTGGGCACTCGGCCCATTGGCCTCAGAGCCGCTTGGGGAAGGCACATGGCCGCACTCTAAGGAGGGCGGCGTTGCTCGTGTCCACGGGGCGGCTCTGGCCTGGGGACCGCCTGGTCCTCCCTCCCGGTGTGAGGCGGCACCCGGTCCCCAGGCCACACCTTCCTCACAGCCTCTGGGCCCAGGTGTGTGTCAGGTGCACGGCAGGCCCTGCCCGGCCCCGGCCTCCAAGAAGCTGGCATTTCACCCACGAAATGTACTGAGTGAGAGGAAGGTCCCAGAGGGGCACAGGCCACCTCCCTCCTGGTGGCCAAGTCCCTGCCCCCGCGTCCCCGGACCTTCCCATCTCTGAGCCCTTTCCCCGAACGTGGCCTCGTTTCCAGGGGTCTTTCCTCCACGCAAGCGGCGAGGCCCCTTTTCTGGTCCTGGGGCACCTCGCAGAGCAGGTCCCCCCAGGTCGGCACAGGGGGGCACCGAGAGGGTGGCCAGTGTGGCTGGCCCCTCCTTCCAAACAGGCAGGGGGACCACGGGGAGGGTGCGCCCGGGAGGGACCCTGCTGCCCGGGAGGTGCTCAGGAAATGTCTGGGAAGAGGTGGGGGTCAGTGCCCCCCTCACCTGCCCCCCTCGCCTACCCCTCCCCGTGCTGTCTCCCCAGTTACGGCCGAGTCTACACAGCTGCCGACCCCTACCACCACCCCATCGGCCCCACGGCCACCTACAGCATCGGGACCATGGTAAGGAGGCTGGCGGCCGGCCTGGGCGCGGCCGTGCGAGGAGCGGGGAGGGGACACAGGCA